ACGTATACCAGCTGATCAGGCGGTGGTACATATATAACGCCATAACCTTTCCCTATACCTCATATACATATACTATATGCGTATATAACGCCATCTGGTCCTGGGTAAATATACATGTATAAATGAATGCAATGCATAATGAAGTAAGTCAATAAGATTTCTCAGAATGTCATGAGACCCTTGAACAAATGATATGATAGTAGGACATATGGGGAATTAAGAACATATGCAACCCTAGTACTTATAGGAATAGAATCATTTGTGAAAGTTGCGTGCTTGCTCGTTTCGTCGTATCATATGGATCATATCAAAAGGAAAGAAGGGATAGCCTTAACATACTTTAACTTCATTGAGTCCTTAATAACTTCAAAGTAATTCTTCAAACAACTCAACTCAATCTACTATAGCATAAGGAGATTCAAAATCAGTGTTGAGTAAAAGTTAAGTCTGCAACTTAAACTAGTAGCTTGTTTACGTAAATTTGGGAAGTATCTCCCCTATAACGAGAGACTCCTCCAATACCATATACCAACAACAATGACCAGAGCAATCCAGCAATACATATTTATTAATAACAAGACACCATATAACAACAACAAGTCACAACTACTTCACGACGAGTGGCACACTCCAATTGGGATTCGTATACCCCATATGACCCCTTATAGACTTCTTAATTTAACTTAATAGTATCATTAACATGATAATGAAGTCATTCATCAATGATTTCAGCCTTATACCATATATTTATAACAAAGAAAATAATCCACAACTCCAATTATCCTCAATTAGCAATTTTATTCACTAGTTCATATCTAGTCCATCCATTTAACTTAATAAATTTCAAGATAACCTTAAGCACATACAAGTACACAATATACATACCTCCTACAGTAGCTATAAGTCTAAATCCAAGTTACATTTAGCTTATAACATCCCTCAATGTCAATACAATACCATAGAAATGACTTAAGTTAATCTTCACTTGCAATCTCAAGTTTCATATGTTTCTTTCATCAATTCACTTGATCAAAAAATATACACTCATAACAATAGAAACCATATCATAATAAAGTTATTTTCACCATTTTCCATCCATAACAACATATACATATAGCCTTAAAATAACCCAAGAAAAGATAACGACATCTCTTTCCCTTTCAAGTGTTATCTTGTAATCTTCATCCAAATAACTTAACCAACACATAGATAAGATTAATCCCAAGAAATAGGGTGCTATACATACCTTAGGCTAACTTTGATGTTTGATTATGGTGTATTTCTTTTGAATTTGTTTAGAGCCTTTGGGGAACTGTTTGGGAGGGTTTGGAGCATGTGAGGCCGGAAGGAGGACGAAATATGAGCAAAGCTAATCCCAAAAACGAGATAAGAATAAGTGAAGGCCGGACCCCGACCAAGTGGGTCCCATAGGGGCTTCCTACGCAGTCTAGCGAAAACACAAATATCTCTCTACACCGATGTCGTATTGATGAACGGTTTGCAGCGTTAGAAACTATATACATGGGGATTCAATTCCATATAAAGATATCCCTGTAACTCTCAATATATTGGGAGAAAACATCCTCGCAACCTAGCCTATAAACCTACCAGTTTCTCCGAAGTTCGGCAATGTGACTTGTCGACCCTATTTTAAAAATCCATATTTCTCTACCCCGATATCGTATGAATAAATGGTTTGGACCGTTGGAAACTAGGTTCACATGTATTCATTTTGGTATGATATATGTCCCAAAATGACATCATAAAGCTTACGAATTTAATTTCTCAAAACGGCTCGTTACAAGGCAAATCTTAGCTCGATTTGTCCTCAACATAAATCCGATTTTTCCCAAATTTTATATTTTATATCCAAACATCATATATAGTCATATGATGACTTTAAACCCATTTAAATTATGATTAATAAGTCTCTTATTTATCTTAACTTACTTAAGATTTCGGTAAACCTTTCTTATCCTTGTAGAAGGATTTTGTCCCTTTTTGAGCTTACATTAGATAATCTTATAATGAAAGTGACGTCTGAAGTACGGGGTGTAACAACATTAAATCACTTCATATACTTTCAAAGAGGATCTCATTTCCGAGATTATATCAATTGACTTACGACGTACTTTCACGTAAAAAAATATGGGATGTAACATTGATGGCCCCGGCGTCTGCTTTCACGAAAGAATCTGCAAGTATAGCAAACGAGTCAATAGAATTAGGAGGTAAGTTGTGATACCATATCATAGCTCCCTTCGATAGGGTTTCTCCGAACTTCTTCAGCACGACATACTCGATCTCATCGTTGTCCAATTTGTTCCCTTTGATGGCACATGCATAAGAGGTTACATGCTCATTTGGGTCGGTCATTCCATTATATTTATGTATCTCGGGCATACGAAATATCTTAGGGATCGGCTTTGGAGCAGCGCTCGGAGGAAAAGGTTTTTGCACAAACCTTTTGGAATCCAGGCCTTTCAATATCGGCGGTGCTCCCGGGATTTGGTCTACCCTGGAATTGTAGGTTTCTACTTTTTTGTCATTAGTTTCGATTTTCTTCTCCCCTGATTCCACTCGTTTTGTCAGTTCATCGAACATTTTTTATGATCTCGGGGTTAGTCCCCGATTCGTTCTCATTCGATCTCCCTGCGACCGGTTTGTCCCTGTGGGTGACTTCCCGGGGCGGATCGGGCTCAACTCTGCTTGGTGCGGGGCTTTGATTTTGCAACTGGGCTATCGCCGTCTGTTGAGCTTGCAACATTTCGAAGATTACTCTTAAATTGACCTGTCTCCACCAACATTTTTTGTGTTTTGAGCCGTCGATCGGACTCCACTACGGATGCTATTTTTGGGGTCGGTAGGCAGGTTTGTGTCGATAGCCATATGTGAATTAGCGTCAATTGGGTCTGCGACCAGAATTTTGATGGGATCAGCGGGCGGTACCTCGTTACCGGGGTGCTATATTGTTATTTTCACCGTGGTGACCGGACTCGTTGTAAATATGTAGGGGTGCTGATTGAGAGTTTGACATTTTGTGTTTTAACTTGAAATTAGAGACACTTCAAAGAGCAAGCGTAAAGTAGTGTATGTTATAGAGATTTGTATCAAATAATCACTATTATTCTTAGCCCACAGTGGGCGCCAAACTATTTACCCTCAAAATCGGATAACAATTGAATTTGTAAGTAGTTTTAAAGATACGTGATCTAACTTGATACAAAACGATAAATCAGATTGCAATTGAAATAAGTAATGAAAAGGTAGATGCTAACCACACAAGTTGAACAGTCTTAGCCTTGGAAGGTTAGCCACCCTCGAGCCAAAAGTATTTTGATTGATATCATAACAGAACAACAAGAGAATATTAAGAACTTGAAGTGAGTAATAATATATTGCTTTGGGATGCTTGTTACAATGTGTTGAATGAATTATCAGACCCCTTTTTTATAGTAGAGGAGTCATACTCTAGGTACATTTTCATAAAAGGTAAAAATCTCTTGATTCGCTGATTGTTGATTCCTTACTGATACGTGCCGAGATTCCCGCCGCAATATCTGACCGGTCACGAATATTTCGATCTTCTATTAATTATCTCAACAACGTTTCTCTGAGCTCGTTCGAGGCTAAGGTCGACACCGGACTCACTGCTCCTCGAAGGCAAGCGTTCCGACCTCGGGTTCTAGCTTGGTGGGACTCGAGGTCGATCTTCAGTTCTTGGTTGCCGCGTTCCAGCCTAATCTACCAAGTTGTAGGCGAGCTCGATTTCGACCGTATACATTATTTCAGTAATATAACAACAACAACAACAACAACAACAACCCAGTATAATAATCCCACTAGTGGGGTCTGGGGAGGGTAGTGTGTACGCAGACCTTACCCCTACCCTGAGGTAGAGAGGCTGTTTCCAAAATGACCCTCGGCATCCTTTCCTCCAAGAACTCCCCACCTTGCTCTTGGGGTGATTCGAACTCATAACCTCTTGGTTGGAAGTGGCGGATGCTTACCATCAGAGTAATATAATTTAATATTTATCAAAAAAAGTAGAACGAGAATGTTCGGTAGACAGAAAAGCAAAGTGTACGTATAATAAAAATATCGTAATTTATTTGGAGCATTGGGAAAAGAAAAGAACAACCCTTGGCTAGAATTATTATAATCAGTGGCTTCCTCGTATTCTCATAGAAGCTCAACCTTCGGATTGCTAGCTGATGAGTCTCTTATCGTACATCCCTAGAAATTTCAACAATCAATAAGAGGTTAAGAAGAAAAAGAAAAACAAAAAGAACGAATTCATTCTTCTCTCGAAGTTATTGAGATTTTCTTCTTATGTAAATTAAATTAATCAATTGTGAAAGATAAACATTCTTCTTCTTCTGGAGAAGAAAATAAACTCTCTTTCTTTTCCCCTATATTAAAAATAAATTTTCATATTTACTTGTCCACTATACTAAATCAAAAAAAAAATAATTTTTTTTTCGTATTTTACTTTTATCATTAACTACTCATTCCCCAAATTCATTCTTCTCTTGAAATTATTGAGATTTTCTTCTTATGTAAACTAAATTAATCAATTGTGGAAGATAAACACTCTTCTTCTTGAGAATAAAATAAACTCTCTTCTTCTTGAGAAAATGAACACTCCATAACTTTTCCTTTGTGTGAAGTACTATATCCGTTCACTTTTACTTGTCAACTATATTAAAAATATATTTTCACATTTATTTGTCCATTATGCTAAATTAAGAAAAAAATAATCTTTTTTTCGTACTAATGAGTAAAATTGTAAAATACATATTTCAACGTGAAAAGTTCAAAGCGGACAACTAAAAGTAAATAGAGGGAGTATAATATAATCATATGCTCTAATTTACATAGGATTTTATTAACCTTATTTTAAAGACTAGTGAAACAAATAAGATAGATATTGAAGTACATGTATGAATATAATATGGATTAGAATCCATATATGCTTGAGAGAAATTGACGAACCTGACTCATGGTGCGGGGGATGATGGAGTAAAAAATGAAGGTGATAAGGGCATGGTATAAGCTGTTGATTGCAGAAATTGAGGAGTGAATGGGCCTTGAAACTGAGGCACCATTTGTAGTCCACTTAATGATGAAGAGGTAGGCGGGGGAAATGGAGGAACAGTTTGATTAGCCATAATTCCATTTGTTGGCTCCATTTGAGGCATTTGCATCATCCCACCTTCACTCATATATAAGCCCATCCTCATTGATGTTATCTGTTGTTCCCAAGTGCAAATTACTGTCACTACATACGATTGATAATGAAATATTATGATAAGTGAGATGGTTAGTTTAATAGGCTGTTTGGCTAAACTTCTAAAATCAGTTTATTTTGAAAAGTATTTTTTTTCAAAAGTATTTTTGGTAAGAAGCAGTTTGTGTTTGACTAATTAATTTGAAAAGTACCTTTGAGCAGCAATTAGTGTTTGGCCAAATTTTTAAAAAATGTTTCGAAGTGTATTTTTCTTAAAAATACTTTTTGGGTGATGCTATTTTTTTCTACTTTTCCAAAACTGCTCTACTCAAAAACACTTTTTTTTTTTCTAAAATCTTGATCAAACACTTCAACTTTTTAAAAAAAAATTTTAAAAAAAAATGCTTTTGACCTTGAAGAAGCTTGGTCAAACAGGATATAAGTTCTGTATATTGACATTGTAAAAAGTTTTTATACTATCAAGTCAAGTTAATCTATAATTGTAAGTGAATGTTAATACTAACCTTATGTACAACAGGTTAAACTGCATTTATTATGTACAAATTCTTTAATATAGCTTAAATCTTTGAGACGATGATTTACGACCAAGTGTTGATAATGCTATCAGAAACAAGAATCATGACAAATCACAAATGGTGCTAGTCATCGTATATCTAGTTCTAACCATTGTCAATATCGAGCGGGAAAAATCATACGATTGGAAAATTCAAGCTACTCCTAATAATTTAATTAGTAGAATAAACTGAGATGAGATAGTTACTTGATGAAGTTGTTGTAGAGCTTGAATGTACTTAATGGCATCATCTAGTATGGACGCTTGGTCTACCTGTGAAGAGTAAATATACTTGAGACAAATACAAGTATTACTATCATTTAAGACAATGTCTCTTAAACAGTACAGTATATTACAAATTTAAATAGAGTTAGGGAGCAATTCTACTTAAGTTTAAAACAACAGAGTATGCTAAAAGATCTAGTCTAGTATAATTACCTTGTCACAGCCAGGAATCAGTTCTCGCAATGCTTTAATTCTGATATCAACTCGTTCTCCTTGCCACTGCTATGCAAAATTAGAAATTTCAAAAGTTATCAACTAGCAAATGAGTGATAAAGTTTAAAATTATCAATGTAATATTCTGTTTTGACCCGCCCAAAATCGGCGCATTTGACACTCCTACCATCTTTCATGCGCTTGAGATAGTTGAAGATCTATTCTCTGTCCTTAACGGGGAGGAAGCATAAAAGTCTAAAGCCATTCAAATTGCTTACACTCACAAGCCCAAAAGAGAACGTCTAAATGTCATGTGGAAAATGGAGATATCAAGGTTTGCAAAAGGTTCTACTGTTAAGAAGTTTAGATTCAGAATTATATATATTTATCGCTGCAATTGCATTTTGGTGCGGTAACTAGAATCAAAGAACTCAACTAATTAATGTCATTTGTAGGTACGAGAATTAGATAATTTGTAGGACGACCATAGCATAGGCAATGGTAAATAAATACAAAGAGTTGAGCAAGTCAATGAACATAGTAAATCATCCCCAATTTTTCTAAAGATTATATTGGCCCCCTCTAACCTTCTTTTGTTTTCTCAAGAATAATAAAAGTAGATACGTCATATGAGGTAAGATCATAAATATAGAGAGGATAATATTAGGTGCTACTTACTCTAGTGGTATTCCTGCTATTGGATTCTCTCACATTGTGTAAGGAATGAAAATAGTTAAGCATTTCATCCGTATTATTACCATTCTCCGTTGCTAAATTGATTTCATCTTCACCTTCATCTCGAGATTCATGTTGCTTTTCAAGCTCATTTTCTTTATTGAACTCCATTATATTTTTGCTACTTTCTCACTTACTTTGAATGTGTGGTTATGTCATGTTTTCTGTGTTCATGTGAAAATATATAGCTACTTCTTTACTATCTATAAATAAGAATAATATTGAAACGCCGACTTTATAAAATATTATAAACTAATTGAAGCAGCTGAAATGCTTAAGCAAAAAGGAAATCCGTGTGCTTTATAAGTTCTACTTTCTATTTTCTTTTTGTAGTTTAGCACAGGTATTGTTACCATACTACATGCTACATGAATAGTCTTATCAATGACAGTATTCCCCTGACATTGCTTCCTCCCGAAGGGTTGGGATTAGATGTAGTAAAATCTCTACTACTCCCTCTCTGAATTTTGAAACTCGTGATATTAAAACCTCAAAGATAAAAGTTTTATGTGATCGTAATATTTGTGTGGTTATAAAATTTTTATTATGGGTAAAATATGTAAAATGAAGAGTTTAAAGTTGAATTATTTCTAATTGTAAATATGTATCATTCTTTTTGAAATAAACTAATAAGAAAAATATATCATATAAATTGAAACATAGAAAATACTATTCGGTCTTCCGTCTTATTTTACTCTCTCCCTGCTTCCTGAAGTTCCATATCAATAAGCAAATTCGGTTAAATACTTAAATCTTGTCTGATATGATTTAACTTTCAAGAATTGAACTATATATCCATAAATAGATATGCTTGATTCGGTAAATAATGGTGAGATATAATCCAATTAGATAAAAACAATACAAGCCCCAACATTGTGAGAGTTGTTGTAGCACTGGGATTAAATACTTAATTATTTACATATCATTTAACCGCAATTAAGTGATTAATGATATATAAAAGACATGTATTTTATATTCATTAAGATTTATTTTGTGGTCTGTTTCAAATGTTATTTTTGTTACATGACAATTTCAATAGAAGATCATTATAGAGTAACACAATAAATCTGTAATGAAACACGAGATCTTTATGGTCATTTCTTCTAGTCAGTCTATAAGTGATCATAAGATCATTTCCTTTTCTCCACTTATGCCGCAACAGTGCTCGTATGCCAACAAACAGGTTTATTGGTAACAACATCCTCGTAGTACCCAATAAAATCCGCCTTTTCCCAAACATGACAAAAGGGATCCATCTTATAGTACCTCTGTCCTAGATATTTTGCACTGTTGTGCTAAATCCCACACGCAAGTATACGCGGATAATCAAATAATAAAGAGTGAATCGAGTATCATTCTCATCAGTACTTGTGATCAATTGTCAACTAAATCAAGCAAATTCTAATTTATCGAGTCAAGAACAATATCAAGGTGACTTTTGTTTAATTAATTCTACTTACTAGAGCTTTGATTAAAAGAACTAATTAACTAGCACACTTAGCATGAATGGTTGAATTCAATGAGAAATAATATTCCAGGGTTATGGATGGCTAACAATCCTGTTGAATTCTTCAATTAACTCTACTTATTTAATTTATCTGGGTTATTAACCTGCAAGGACAAGAATACTCATAAAATTTTGATACTTCTACTCGCCTATTCAATTTATTTTAAACCCTATATTTGTATGAGATTAGAGATAAAAAGAACACATTAACAATTTCTTGTATAATTGGCTAAGTACGGCAAATAGGTATATTTCTATCCGTATTCGCAAATTAATTCCCCAATGACTAGGTTCAAGATCGCGCTCTATTCAATCCTATTGCAATCAAGAATTACCGCTTTCAAGTTTAACTCAAGATTCATATATAGTATTTCACTGTTAGCTAGGCAGTAAAATAATTAAACTCAGGATATGAATAAATAACCCAATATGATAAATTAAATCGTCAAATCAATCTCCGAATATCAACGTTCATGTAAAACCATCACCCCAGAATAAATGAGTTTCGCCACGCATAGTCATGGTAGAAATCTCAAATAATCCCCAAGAATACATAAAAATCAATAAAAGAAGGGGGAAAAAAAGAACTCAAGACGAATTTCACGGTCTCTAAACTCTATGATGGCTTTTCTATGCTTGCAAGTGTGTTAGATGACCTAAAATAGGCGTTTTTGGCTTATATATTACGTACAAAAGTCGTAGGCCAAAGTTTTCCTTTTTCTTTTCCGAATCAGCTTCAGGGATTGATGCTGAGTTGGATGCTTCGCGTCCGCCTCAGCTTGTACTTCTCAGTATCGGATGATGGGGTGGATGTTTCGCGTCCACCTTGTTCCCTCATCCTCTGCGCCCAGGTGCGGATGTTAAGGTGGATGTCTTTTCCCGATTTCACTGCTAAGGATGAACCAAATAACCTTTTTTTTCAAGGTTGGATGCAACGCATTCACCCTCTTCTCCTATAGCTGAAGCATCTTTTCTTCATATTTTTGCACTCCAAATATCCTAAATCATCACACACAACTTAATTAGTTGTAAAACTAATAATTAATACAAGTTGGGAATTTTAAACAATAATTAACTTAAAAGTGATTAAAACATGAGTAAAGTAACATTAAAATATATAGACATCATCATGTACATTCAAGCCAATTAGGTCTAAAGATTCCTTCCACTGTGAAATGCCAGAAGTGCACTCCTGGTAAATATTTGCATAATAGATAATAAATTATCCAAAAAATAATCATTACAAAATCAGCAAATAGTGATTCTGAAGTTTTCCTGATAAGGTTCTGCTGCAAAAGACCAGCCGATATGGAGTGCTGTCACCTATTCTATTTGCAGCTATCTGGTTTCGGCTATATATAACGGCAACCTGTTATTCTCAACTGACAATTTACGCGATGTTTGCGGAAGATAATAAACTTACCAGTTCATGATTCCTACGTGAATATAATTGTACTACTATATATAGTAATTGAAAGTTTCTTTTATTTTGATTCTTGTGGCAACGAAGGAATTTGTTGGAATTAGGAAACCTCTTGATGGATGCTCGATGGACCTGGTATCTAATATTATTTGTTCCTGTTTTATAATACTTTGTAAAACTACGGCCCCGTTTGGCCTTAACAATTTTTTAAAGATTTTTACACTGCTGGCCCCTTATTTAATATTATTCACATAATAAACATTACACTTCCTTTATTCTAAAACTAGCAGGTTCTTGTTACAGTTTTGACATATTTCAATGATTATTATTCATTTAATGGTAATAGATTTAAAAAATAAACTGAACCACAAATGTAGGGATCCTTTATAATCTGTTTCACTCCGTCTCTCCCTCTCTGCCAGCCATGCTCAATATGTATTCCTTCTGAATATAGACGAAACAGTTGGTTAAAAAATAAATTAAAAAATAGTTGAAGAGAATATTAAAGAGGGACGAGCAGACAAAATGGAAAATATAATCAATTACCATTTTAAAAGTTGTCAGTTTTCTTTCAAGGCTTGTATGTATGCCGCTATTTTAGTGGCGTTTGGCAGATATCCTGCAAGAAATTTATACATCAACGATTGTATTCTAATGGATATTTCATAATATACTTATTTAATTAAATATGGTATTTACATAGTTATTATAAAACAAACATACGTCACATTAAATAATAAAATTTAATACACACTTTAAATATACGTTGTGTATATTTCTCATGTATCCAATGAATATATGGTTATAGAACTATGTACTATGCATATGCAAATAATATAATAATATATACCAATAATAATTAATAAATTACTTCATCTTATACTTAGATAATTATATAATACATATATTTATATATGTTGTATGTAGTATACAAATAAACAACTATAATATACTTTAAAGATATTATATTTAAGTATATCCTATTATACCAGTAATTTTATTCCACCAAACATGGGAAAAAGAGTAATATCACAATCATTTATTCTATGGAAGTTACCACTTTCCGTTCAATTTGCTTATTTGCAGAGAGTATTAGTTATTATCCCTCTTTAATGTAACAAAAGGAGGGGATTGGCGTGATTCTCGGTCAAAGTTTATAGCTTTCTACTAAGGAACGTAGTTATTTAGCTGCCAATTATGTTTAATACCTACTGTTACTAGTTTTTGAAATTTTTTCTGAAATATTGCCTATATTGTCCAATTTTTTCACCTTTTTAGTAAAGTTTTTATTATTTTTGGTATCAGTGTTTGGCCATGCATTTTAAATTTCACTTTGAAATTGAATTTCGAAATTTTTCTGAATATGAAAAACTTCAAAAACTGTTTTTTTAAAATTTTCACTTTAAATCACTCAAAAAATTCAAAAACATCTCAAAATTGTATTCATGTCCAAACAAAACTCTAATTTTCAAATAACATTTTCACTTGATTTTTTTCTGAAATTTCACAATTTATATGTCCAAACGCTCACTAAGTTACTTCTATTTTAAAGTCAAGGCAAATAACCTTTTAGTCCCCTGCAATAGTTATCACAACCCGAAATTTTCACCTTCCGGACCGTGATGACGCCTAACATTTTACTTGCTAGGCAAGCCAGCGTTAGAATATAACTAGCTATTTTAACAAAATAATAACAAGAAAACAAATGCAGAAATAAAGTATGAAATAAAGTGAATAATCCATAAAAATTGCAATATCTAAGTACCATCCCAGAACTGGAGTCACAAGTGCATGAGCTTCTAGAATAATATAAATAAAGGTCTGAATAAAATTCAAGTTGTTTGAAATATAATACACATGTGGGATAAGATAAAAGGGGATTTCAGAACTGCGAACCCTGTACAGTTATACCTCAAGTCTCCACTGGTAGCCGTATCCGGGCAAATCTACAGTACGCCGTTGGGATTAACTCCGAAATCTGCACAAGAAGTACAAAGTGTAGTATCAGTACAACCGACCCCATATATTGGTAAGTGCCGAGCCTAACCTCGACGAAGTAGTGACGAGGCTAAGGCATGTCGCTTATATTAACCTATACACAATAATAATAATAATAATAATAATAATAATAATAATAATAATAATAATAATAATAATAATAATAATAATAATAATAATAAT